ATATATATAAAAAACCAAACAAAACAAAAAAACACCCCCCAAAAAACCAAACTAAACAAAAAAAAACAAACCAAGCCCCAAAACTCAACATAAAAAAAGCCCAAACACAGAACCAAACAAAATACCTAACCCCAAAACCATGTTCAGTTCTATGGCTGCTACAGTCTTACCTGCACGCAATAACAGTGATGTTTCCATATCAAACCCAAAGTCATTAACAACCAGGCATCCATATGTACCAAGTTCTTTTTGAGTAGGATTCTGAATCTGCACTTTTCCAACAGTGTCCAGGATCACCCTGCACAATATTCAAGGAAAGATCAGAGTTACCATCCTGGTGCAAAACCCAGTTGAATCTTACTGCAGGAATTACATATACAGCAGCAAAACTGCTTTTTAGGGTTTGTCATTCTAGACCAGTGCATACAGTAATGGTTCTGTTTCCTCTTTGGTGACAAAGGGGAGCTCCAAGGGATACATGCATGGAAGATTCTTCAGATGTCCTTCTACAAAGCCTGTGTCCTAGATGCAGCCCTTTGGAGGACAGTGAGTTTGCTACTACAAACCAGAATCCCTTGGGAACAATAGCATGAATAAATCAGACTATCACAATTAAAAGTATTAGGCTTGGCAAGAAATCCATCTTTCCAGAGCAAGTTTTGTTTTCAGGAGGATTGGGGAGTTCAAAGAAGTATGGTCTAATCTGACTTCCAAATTACTGTAGGCTTTGGGGGTTTTTGGGGGGTGGGTTTTGGTAATTTTTTTTCTTCGGGGGGGAGGAGAAGTGGAAAGAGGTGTTTGTTTTGTTTGGTTTTGGTTTTAATGTTATCATTATTAAAGCTAAAGTCTTCCACCAAAACCCCACAGGTATCTTGAATATCTTGCCTGCCATCTGAAGGACAATATATGAGAGCAAGCATCACATGCTGAGGAAGAGGCTGAAAATAGCAGCCTGGACTTTTGCCCCTTGTAAGCTGAATTATGCCATACACTCATTGTATTCAAAACCCAAGTAGCTCTGACATTCTGAGTACACTTATAAAAGAGATACACAAAAACATTAAAAATACTCGTGTCTCAAGAAAATGAGCCACTTCCTGCATGGCTTAAGTAGGGCCACCTTTTACAAACCCAACAGGCAAACAGCCCATTTGCTTCTTCACATTCTTTTTCAGATGTAATGCTATTAACATCACTGGCCTTTGAGTACACACACACACACATATATATATATGGGTAGACGTATAAGAAACCTGCCTGTGAAAAAGATAGAAAAAAACACTTTGCCAGAATATCCCTTAAATGCAATAATATCAGTCTGATCTAAAAAGAAGTCAACTTATGGAAGTAGACATTAGGAATCACACAGATACACGTGACTAAACAAAACACCATCATGTCCAAAAAATGAATGTATCGTTTGCAACAAATTAATGGGAAATTATGCATATTTCACAAAATAAACATGACTGGTGGGAGCTACATGGTTCCAAAAACATTTGCACTTTTTTAAATGGCTTAGTTTTGATGTCTTTGCTTTAATTGATAGCCCTGCAGAAGTATATTTTTCTTGGCAGTGTTATTAATCAGTTAAGTATGTTCAGAAATAGCCAAAAGCACCTTTATCATTTCAGAATCATTTTTGTTTTCATTACTCAAGAGCTAGCTCTAATTCCAAGAGGCTCACACACAAAGTTAAGGCTAATATTACCAGGTGAGCTTCTAATTTATCAGCAATGAAGTAAAAGTATTTGCTCAGTCTTGAGTAAATATCTAGCACACACTTGCTGTACTTGTTCTTCAGGTATAGTTCTCCAATGTGATGGTAATACAGGTCCTTTATTACTTTGTATTCCACTGTCCTCAATAGAAAGACTTGTAAATTCTACAGCATTGGGAAAAAAATTCATAAAATCACATTCTTTCTTTTTAAATTGAAGGTATGCAGCTACAGTTATACCTAAAGATTTACTGTGCTGAAGGATGGTAAGGGTACCAGTGATGTTTTGCCTCCTTAAGGAGGGAGAATGAATAAGAACTGACTTCTTTTCATCTCTTGCATGGCACAAGTTTTTAATGTGCTCCCACTGTATCTGGTATCTAAATAAATCTAATAGGCTTCTTAAGTATTAATCTGTTCATTTTCTGATGCAGCTGAAATGATTAAGTCAGATCACAAAATACAGCTAGAACATACAAACCCAGTAAAAAAAGGCAATCCTCCCATGTAATACTGTGGAAATGGTTATTAGCAAAGCCAAACAACGTGGCAGACACTTGAAAGCAAAAAAATTACTTAAATAGGCAGAAGGCACAGGGTTCATGCTTATCTCATTTTTACAACAGTGTGCTTTTTGAGATTGCACAGCAGGGTGGCTTTTTATAGTTGATAGTAACATAACAAGTCATTAAAAAATTAAAGATATTTACTTACTTCTCAGAGGCTTTTAATGTCTCGCCATCTTTTGTCCAAGTATACTTCACTTCACTGATACCAGCTGTTTCACACAGTAGATTGACAGTGTGAGTATTCTTGGTCAGATAAACTGTATTTCCTATTCGTACAGTTACTGTTTTGTTGAAAGAAACTCGAGGAAGTTCCTTTTGCCTCATAATAACTGGAACCTTCTGGTCAAACATTAACTTATCAACAGTTTTTGTGCTGAAACGCTCAAATTCATTTGGTGATTTGCCTTTAAGTTTTGAGGCATGTTTCTCATCCTGGGCCACCTTCCATTTTTCAGTAGTTGATTGTGGAGGCCTAGATAATTCAGCAACTAGTTGGTAAATGACCTGGGAGGCCAAGTCATCATCAACTTCTCCAGTTTCAATGAGCTGACTCATGTTCGTTATCAGTTCTTCAAACTGTACAGTGTCCATGCTGTAGGCGCCTTGGAGAACCGCTGCCTCCAGTCGTTTGTTCTTGAATTCACGAGAGCTGAAGTCTTCTGCTGAATTACTCCCAAAGGTTCCAAGATTTCGCAGAAATGGCTGATCATTTACTTGCCTATCACCCAGATAGAGCTCATTCTTCTTACTCCACATTTGCCACATTTTGCTCATTTTATGCCATTTAGCCCCAAAGCTGTTGGCCTCATTGTGATCGGTGTTACTGGCCTCACTGGAATGTTTTCTCAGATTTGGTGGTTCTATCAATCTGTTGTCGGTACCAATGAGTTTGAGTACAAATGTCTCATGCACAGGGCCTGCAATACACCGGTACACCCCAATATCAGTAGCTTCAAGACTATGTATTTTCAGCGAGCCTGACTTGGTGATGCCAAGTCTTTTAGAGTTTTGTAAGTGTTGTCCATCTTTCTCCCACCGGATAAGTGATTTCTGGAACCTCCGTACAGGGCACTTAATTACAACGGATGTTTTTGGAAGTAAGTAGGCTCGACTTCCTATGGTAAAATTAATGCGCTTCTCTTGTCTTGTTTGAATGTAGACTCGGTGAATACTGACAATTTGAGGTCCTTGAGCAGAATACTTCTCTGGAAGCTTTGGTTTAATCTCTGAAAGAAAACAAAGTGTTGAAAAGTATCTAATCATTGGCACTCATGCTTACAAAATCTGCTTTTCACAGAATGCTTGACAGAGCTTCTCCTCGCTTTGTTCAAGTCAGATTGCAACATGCTGAGCTTTTATCTCGGGCACAAAAATGCAAAAATATGAACAACATGAAACCATAACATTCCCCTGCTCCAGCCAAGAATTCTATTGCTTCTTCCCCATATCTCCTAACAATAAAAAGATATAAGCAATATATACCTATATGAAGGACTTAGGTCGTGCACACATACATAAGTGGATAGATACATCTTATATTAATTTATATTATATATAATCTTAGATGATTATATTTCATATATACTTCATATTGTTGCCTCAGAAAGGCTAGGCATGATGGGAATGGAAAAAGTGAATGGAAAAAATTTGAACACTATCACTTTCCCCACATTTGAGCACTGCAGAGTGCAGATGACCTAAATAAAAGAAAACCTATCCAAAAAGTAAGGTTCCCCCTGACTGTTGTTTAAATTATTGGCTGGCCATGCTGGTTGTCTGGTTGAGTCGAGCCAAATTGATAGCGACATAGGAGGTGAAAGCAGCAGTCGATGAAGACACAGTACATGCAACAAGCAAAGACACCCTGTAATCACTGGCTGAGCATAATTTCTTTCGGTTGAAAGATGAGTTGCTCAGTGTTGTGCCAAGAAAGTAGGGAGGGAAGGATGGAAAGAGAGAAATAAGTCAAAATTTTGAGAGGTTGAATATAGTAATCAGATGAATTGGCAAAAGTAGACAATAACAGCATAAAGCTTCATGCAGACTGGGGATGGAGACAGCGCGTATTATGAAGCTCCTCCTTCATTGTACTGCAGGAACTTGGATACTGAAGGGTTTCTAGGGAGCTGCCTGAATGAACCCCACCACGGGCAGGCTTTCTGAGCAGTGGCTGGATGGGCACGCTGGAGACATGAGAATGACTGCAATGCTTTGGATACCACTGTGTTGACTCACTGCTGGCAGCTACTACGTCCCACTTTGATCAGTAGAATTCATCTCACACTAGGCGAGAAAACACTAGGTAGATGAGCAACAAAGTGCTGTACAAGGCTCAGAGCAAGGGCAGGCACCCCTCAAATTTGTTCTACAGAAGGTGAAATTGGCCATCTGGGAAGAGTCGTGAAACACTCCACATTGGTGCTAGAAAACAATCCAATTGTGTTTGGTAACCCAGCCTTCTGGTATGTGACAGAGAAAAAACTTGGAGCCTGCAGAATGAGTTGAGTTGATGAGCCAGAAAACGGACACACAAACCAGAATGATTCTCAGTGTGCCTGAATCTGAAATCAGTGCTAGGATCCACTTGGTAGGGACATAAATAAAATGACAACTCCAATGATGGCATGCAAATGATATTTGAAAAACTGCATGCTGCTTCTATGCATGTGCTTCAAATATGCTGTGTAGAAATAGGTGAAAAGCTAAATGCTTCAAGCATTCAATAAGTGTGTACACTGTATGAACTACACCCTAGAGTGTATTCTTATGCTTATAAAACAAAACGGTTATTTTCGATGTTTTGGGTAATGAGTTCAGACCTATGGGGATATCATGGTTTCATAATTACACAGCTTTTAAATCGATACTCGTTATCCAGATACATGGTTCTCTCAACCATTTCACGTGGTACAACAAATAAATTGCTTCAGGCACTCAGTTTACTAAAATTATTAAAGTAGCATCCTGTTTTTAATAAGTTATCGGGCCCAAAATATTTATTTTTAGGGAAGTGTTCCAGTATTAAATCTTCCATTTGCAAAAGCCAACTTACAGACACAGTAAGTGTAACTTTAAACACACAAAATACTTCAGGCTGTGGTCTGTTTACACTAGTTATTCCAACATGGAATTAATACCAGTGCTCACTTATAAATATGTTAACAAGTCTCATCCATTTCAGTTTTTAAAAAAAGAAAGACCACTAACTCTCATTAGCAGTTCAACACTAAAGGGTGTGTATGTTTTTACTGGTGACTGGTGAGCAAGGCCGGGAGTGAAACAGAGTTCAGAGTTCTGGATGGCAGGCCATTTAAATATATAAGGTCAGATGAATATATGAGGCCACATAAGCATGCATTTGCTAGATCCTTAGTATCATCCAGTCCCACATCTGCTGAGGTAATGGACTGTTTGGGAGCATTTTTTTTCTACAAGTTGAAGCTTGCTTAAGGATTAGATTATACTGGAGCCATTGGACCTCATTACCACCTAGTACAAATCCATCTGCGTCTATGACCTCCAGTGGTCCTCTACAGCTTTAGCTGGGCCTCAGGTCCTGGTGACCTCAGGGCTAGTCTAGTGTTACTTCCTATTGCTCAGAGCCCACAGTCAGGAATGTTTCTGACTTAATAGGGCTTATTAAGTAGAAACCAGCTATGATTACTAGTCCCAGGGAAAAAGATTAAGTCTAAAATGCCTTAGCACTGTCATAAGGCAGTAAAGAAGGAGCTCATCTGAGCCATGGAAGCATAAACTGAGGAGAGGCATTTAGAAACACTGCTCCCAAAGACAAGAACCTCTAACTGCATGCATGCCATACCCCACACCACTCTTCAATGGGTCTGCTTCACTCACCTGCCCATCCTAGGTTCATGCTATGTTCCTGCCTTCTATTCACTACCCCTTCAAGACAGCCTGAACCCATGGCTGCAGGAGGAGAAAATACCTCCTGAATGTTCCCATGAATCTAAATCCTGCTGCTGCTGCTGCCCTGGCCCCTTCTGCTAAACCCAAGCTGGAACTATGGGTATGGACATGTCTCATGTCTTCCCCTGCCCTCCTGATGCAGAGCCAGGGAATTGCTGGCCGTTCTGAGTCACAAACGCTTGCTTGTTCCAAAGGGTTGCAGTGATAAGGGAGACGACAGTGATGCTCTTGTATGACTTTGATCTGCACCCATTCAGCACAATCACACTCCCTCTGCAGTCCACTGTCCTGCTTTCTTGGCACTGCGGTGGAAGCTGACAATGTAACTTTAATATCAGCCTGTGCTAAGCACTTTGCAACCCAGCTACGCTGCCATTCAACTATCCACAATTAATTAAATTCAGATAGATATGCAGCTCAAAATATTTTATTAAACCTTATGCCAAGGACATTCCTGAAAGTCCACGGGGCTTTATTTAAGTGAGTTTTGAACCTCAGGATTTCGGCATGTTAATCTGAAACGCAGGCCAGGAAAAGAAGTTTTATATTATGTATGAATCAGTAATTATTCTATTTCTTATTTTGTTTTGTGAATAATTTTTAAAGCAAAGCTTCAAAATGTATAAAGTAGCTGTTCTTTGATAGCACTATGAACTGGGTCAAAAACATGTCCATCTCTGTGATCAAAACCAGGCTATTCATGAAGGCCTTTGGTTTTCTCCCACCTCAAAACTAACAGCTCTCATTTTTCCCTTCCTTTTGAGGACCCTACTCCCCAAATCTACATACCAGTAGTCTCCTTTATAAAGGAAGGAGAGCACAGGTTCAGATATAAGGAACGTGCATTTAGAACTGCCTATTCTAAACTACTTTATGTAATTGAACATACTTGGTATCAGTAAGATATTTCCATTGGTGTTACACATACGCAATTAAGTGCAAGTACCATCAGTATTATAACCCAATTTTGCCTAAATCATATAATTCCCATAGACAATCTTCCTGAAAAGATTTAATACTGGATTTTTTTGACAAGTGTCTGTACTGTCATCACTTCCTGCAAAGCTCATGAAATGGGATTCTCATTTTTCCAAGGAAAGTAGTAATTGTACCTGAAGTTATCACTGGCTCAGAGTTTCAGGTTTTGAATTCCACCATGGTAAGTGAAATGTCCAGTGTAATACAAATGTGCAGCAAGAAGATAAGCCAAACCTGGATTCTTATCTTTTCTAATATCATTTGTAATTTACAGTCAATTTATGTTTTGAGTTGGGGTTTTCTCAGTTGGGATAGCATACAGGATAAAGGAAAAATCAGATCAAATATAGGTAAGCATGAGGGTGAGAGGTATGTACCATTAAAGCACATTCAAAACCTACTTCTTGAGATCATAACCTTTATTTCTGACTGGTAGAAAAAAATTTAAAACAATCCTGTTATTACTGGTCTAGTAATTACGACACTCAGTTTATGCCAGATTAAGAACGTTACGAAAGTATAAGGAGATGAGTGAATTAACCTGTGTACAGGTTTTTCTTTATGCATAGATAATTCCAAATCAGCAAGAAACTGTAACATACTTACTGTTGCAGGCATTCATCTGACAAGACCTTACAAGCAGTGAAGGAGACAGACCACTACACATTGATCCATTTAGTGTGACATACTGGCCCTTTGCTGTTAGGTTTTGGCAGTTAAGTTTCCTTCTCTGGATTCCAACACCACAGCTCACTGAGCACTGTGAAGGGAAGGATGCAGTCAGGCTAAACTTGGTGTCTCACACCACACATAGTAATTTTAAACTAGTTTGTTGGTTTGGGTTTTTTTATTTCTGAGAGAGAATGCATACACTCTACTTCATACGAATCCTTGTGTTATCCAGACATTAAACTCTCTCTGCTTTTCCAGACAGTAAGAATATAAAACACATTTGTTCCAACAAACAACTCAGGAACAATTAAAATAACATGTCAGTATTTCTTTATGTCTAACCACAGGCAGAACATAGCAATGAGATACAGTACCTAAGAGAAACAATGCAGCACATTATAAACAGTCTGTGTCAAGTCTCTCATCCCTCTCTCCTAGTTCATATTACATGAACCTTTAATTGCAGCTTCTAAATTTACTTTTATAAATCTTTTGAACAGGGAGTGGTAGCAATCTTGCATTAAATGGGAAAGGAGGAGGACATATTCCAGTGTAATGCAAATAATTGCTTTTTGGAGGCTGTACTCTGAAACAATTGATAGCTAAACATGTCTGGTAGAATGCATGCAATGAATTACAGCCTGTCCTTCAGCAATTTAAGTACAGCTCAGGAAGAGGACTGTAATCAGTCTGGTTGTAGGCAGGGATGCACAGCAACTGTATGCACAGTTTAGTCCAGGTACATGGCTTGTGAAACCTTAAGCTGCCCTGTAAAGGTATTGCTCCAAACAGCATATTCAACCAAGCAGAAATCTTTAGAGCTCGTGTTGGAACTGAAAGGTTTGATTCACCATTGCTGCGGGCTGCTCACCTTGGACCATTCTCCAAAGACCAGCTGAGGAGGACAATCAACTTTTGCACATGGTTTACTAGTTGGCAATTTAGGTTCCTGGCAGGTGTCATCAGAGTGTTTCAGGAAGCTTCCATCCGTCAGCAGCTGCTTACAGTACACTTTGCGGGTCTGAATCCCTCCTCCACAAGTACGTGAGCACTAAGGAGAAGAAGAAAACACAGCCTATACACCTGCAGGGACATCTGTGCTCACCCATCACGTTGCTACTGTACGTAAACACTGTAAGCCCATCTTCCCCATTATGCTCTGTTGAAAAATGACACCTACTTTCAATTACAAAGCAAGGAGAATGTAGAAAACACTTCTGTTAAAAGATTTAGCTCATATATTAGAGATGATGAGAACTCAGATTATAAAGTCACACTACCTCAATGCAATTAAATAGTAGAAATCTTAAAAACGCACATCTTACACACAGATTTGTCCATGTCCCTCATACCTGGTGAGGGTTTAGGAAACTTTGTCCCTGAGACAAAATAAGTAAATAAAAAAAAGAAGCAATGTCTTCAAAGCAGGTTATTGCATCTGCAGAGTGCAGAAAGGTGTCTGGAATGACTGTTATCCAGCTTTCTGAAACCTTAAAAAGGACTTTTCACCTCAACCTGTGACTGTCTATTAGCATAGCAGTCAAAAGCAGTATTTTTGACACTGGATTACTTTGTTCTAATGAAACCAGTTGAAACACATACCAAAGCTTAGGAGCTACCTTCCATGTTATTCCACTGTAGAATTTCAAGTACCTAGTTGGAGGAACACACTTAAACTACTTCTGTAACCCAGACATACCTCTTGCCATTCCTCAACGTGCCAAACAGGGGGACAATCAATCTGGTTACAAGCTTGTAAAGAGTGAGGCTTTTTGTCTTTGCACTCTTCAGCTGCAACGGCAGATCCTCCCGGCTGCTGGCAGGACACGTCTCTCGTCTGTATCCCAACCCCGCACGTAGCTGAGCAGCGTCTCCAGGGGCTGCTTTGCCACCTGTTCCAACAACACAGCCCAAAGCTCGCGTGTTAGCAACTCGCCTCAGACCAGGGAAGGAGCAATCATACCCAAACAGAGCCTAGCAGGAACATAACTGAAGGTGTAGTTATTGATAGATGGCTGAAACATCCCTTTGGTTTGGTTGTAAAGCAAGATTATAAACTAGATTTATAATCTTACAGGTAACAAGGAAACGCAGAAGCTATGAACAATAAAGTAATGAAGAGTCATTTCCAGATAAATTCAGCTCCAGCATTTACTTTCAGAATGCTCCTCATCAAAAAAACAAACAAAACAGCCTGTTGGCAATCTGCTGATGTTTACATTTATAAATGTAAATACATAAATAGACCTTTGTTACATTTACAAAACTTCCTTTAAATGTGTATATGTTTTCTACAAAACATCCTGTTCCTGTTAACTTCTTCCCTACATTTTGCAAGAGGACGTTTCTGCAAACACGTAGAAACAGTATGCAAAGGATCAGGGATGTCAGAGATCAAAAGTGGGTAAATAAGGCAGCACATGTCAAAATTTCACATATGGCCCTTTCAAGTGACCAAATCAGCAGGGTTTTCTGGGATTTGGATTGGGTTTTCTCTTTTCCCAGAATCTCCAGATAAATGTAAGAAGCCATAAGAACTATGCGGGGCTACTAAGGAAGCACGAAACTAAAATAACTGCAAATCATAATTTCACTTTTTCGTTCAGTAAGGATAGAAAGTAAACACTCTGGGTTTTTTTGTGAAATTGCCTTAAAATTTTCCTTGTACCACTAGAAGAGTTAAGGCTGTTTTTCCAACTCTGGCAAATATCTACATGGAAGAGATGTATTTCAGAAAATGTTCCCTATTTTATTAGTGAGATGTGAAGAGTGGAAAAGGAGTGAACAAGACCAAAAAAAAAATTCCCAACGCCAAAAGCTTGTTAAAGACAGAAGTAGTGAAATTTCATCCCAAAACAAGACCACAGTCCTGCAATCTGAACCCTTTTCTGAGAAAGCCAATGTTTATTTAAGTCCAATTAACCCTTTCTTCACCACAATATGATTTCATTATTACAGTATACCTCGGAGGGCAAAGCTTCGTATTGCAAGCACGAGTCATTGGTGGTGGTCTCTTGGAACTGTCGCACAGGGTTTCATTGACAGCTTGTTTTGTCTCTACACACAGACACATTGCAATGGCTTCTTGTGTTCCTGAATTAAAAAGGAAAACACTCATGAGACACTGAAGATGGAAGAGATTTCTGTAGAGCTTACTCTTGAATAATTCTCAAAAAGCTCTGCACATTGAATTAGATCGGAGGCTTAAAAGTAACACCTCAAGTCAAAAAGAACGAAGATATTTATACATTTAATGCTCAAAAGACATGTCTACTTTAATTCTGTGATATTTAAAAGGCTTGATTCGACATTCCACCTGTCTGAAAATCAACAGAAAATAGGCTTTACTGTCTGTCCACCATCGGATGCTAGATCTGCCCAGTTCTGTAATGCTCCCCAGCCAACTACTGTTCTCATTGTCAAAATCAGTGTAAAAGTGACTCCTTCTCACTTAAGGAGCATACAATGTAACTAAAAAAATTCAGAAAACTTGCAAAACTATAGTCAGGAGAAAGGCTGACTAAACATAGACCCTTTCTCTTAGGGGCTGAGAGGTGCAATAGTTTTGCTGAAGGCAGCAAATCTGACCTAGCCTAAGGCTTTCCTCACTCGTGACTGTTCTTGGCACCTTATAATCTGCAGCTTTTGCTACCTCGAGCTTATATTACTGAAGCATGAAAGATTACTAATACTCAAATTTCTGTGAGTCAGAATGAAAGGTAATATAAGTTTGCTTTAGAATGTCAGCTTAGCAAATTCACATTTTGTGAACTACTTTTAAAACTTATGTAATTATCAAGTTTTATATACCATATTTTTTAGTATGAGAGCCTTACTCAATTTCAAAGCTTACTTGCATACACATGAAAGACAAGATGGTATGTGACGTATTTGGGGGACCCTGTATATCTGGGATGTCCTATACAAGCAATGCTAATGATCATAATCCTGTAGAACAAAAAAGCATGGAAATAATAAAATACTTATTTTGTTGCTTCCAGGTAAAAAGGGCTTTTGAAGAGTCACCATTTAAAGAATTTAAATCCATTTCCTTCCTCTCTTTCACTTATATCCAGTGATTTTGTAAGGATATGGATTTACTTTCAGCAGCTGGTTATATTTCTTTTCTTAGGATCAACTTCTAAGGTTTCAAGGGGAGTTGCATTTTTAACTAGAAACTCCACTAACCACTTCATTGTATTACCCATGACATGACCTCAAACCAGCACCACTATTCTTAACAAAGGTTTCTACAACTATTCCTGCATATTCTACACTGAAAGCTGCATCTCAGTGACAATGGTCCATAACTCTCTCCTTTACAACACATTTCACAAGCACTGTTATTCTGTTCATAAACCAAAGCTGTTCCTTCCACCTATAAACAATTCTGATGTAGTCCAGCGTATCAGGCAGCCCAGGCCACAGTCCCTCTTTGCAACACTTGAACCAGCGCAACTATTTCAGACACGTCAGCAGGATAGCCCAGCGGTGATTTTCACAACAACGTAGATTCCAGCTTCTTTCAGTCTCTCTGGTACACCTCTAGATCCCCACTGGGACCATTTTCAGTTCAGAAAGACCTTGTTATAGAAATGTTTTGACTACATCTATGAAGTGATGAAATTTTATAGAAGACCTGACCTTAAATGTGATTGACAACCTATTCAGATCTCTTCTATCAAAGTATTGATAATTACATTAATACAGAACACATGCACTGAGTAAAAAGTATTTTACTAGCAAGGCTGAGGAAAAAACCTTTAACAACAAATACCATGCCCATAACACAGACATGAAAATGCTTGTTTAAATGTTTAATAGGAGTAGCTGTCCTGTCTCCCTACGTAGGAAATGCACATCCAGCAGTCTCCAGGAGAGAAATAAAGATTTAGAAACTGTGCTCTGGCAGAAACAGAATGACATTACCAGACAAGCCATCAAGCCCATGTCAAGGATCCATATAATCTCTATTTTAGGTCAAAATCTACCCTATGGTACCAACCTTCAGTTTCACTGACCTCCCTGTGTTTCTGCAGGAAAACCACACTCAGGTGATGCTGCTCTGAAACAGGCTGTGATAATATCTTCTTAGTATTTCACACAAAGGAGGGAAATTACATAAGATTCCTTTCAAACCATCTAAATTGGCAATAATCCCAAGGGAAATTTTAATCTCCGTGTTATAAAACCAAACTGGCCAGCCAAATGAACAAAAGGCATGTCCTACCAGGTGATGGGTTTTGACTGCGACTTGCCACCTGGAGTTCATTAACCACTTCTGCCTTGCAGCATGACCTACCTAGCTTTAATTGTGTTAGGAGAAGGAATTGTTGGTATGTGGTGTATCTTCCATTTGACTTAACTACAGGGCAGTAGTGATTCTTCCCCAAAGGGGCCATATTGAAAGAAAAATGGCACCATGTTTTGATGCTGTAAGTACAAAACGGATATTAAAGAGCTGTTAAAAACATACCACACGCTCCTTTCCTGCTCCTTAGTTCTCAGTTCGATAGTTCTATTCAATAAATAAATACACAAAATTGATGCAGCATTTGCTTGAACTGAACTGTCAAAATGTCTTGACAATCAGTTTTCTCACCCCAAACTATAATTTTCCTTTAGTTGGGAACTTCAACCAGTGATAAATTTCTTATTCTATGTCAATTGGAAAATGGAAAAATCTATTATTCAAACAAGCAAAGTTTTATATGTATGACTTTCTTGGCTTATAATATAAGCATAGTAGATAATTTAAGTAAAACATTATGTATGCAGCAGGGAGCATTAAGTATTTTTATAGTAATCTGATGCACTATTGTAGTAATTATCCTACTATTCAGTGAAATAGAATATTTTCTATTTTAACCCAGCATTCAAACCACATACATTTGCATTCTTTTACAAGCTTTTCTGTGCAGTGAAATACACAGTGCGTGAAGCTGTGTTAAAAGATCAGAATGCTTGAAGAAAGCAATTTTTGTTTCTGCCTTTTTTAGAGCACAAAGAAAATGGTGGTGGAAAGTTGCTGTGCAAGTGGTCAGAGGATGGATCTATTCTTTATACCTCGAAAAGGAAGGACGCTCATTTATTTCTATCAAATAGTCTCAGTTTGGTTACTGCTCAAAAACATGTACTATCAGCTGAAAATAACTCAGAAGAAATGCCAAGTCCTGCGTATGCTTGAGCCTCTCTGAAAATCCATTGAAACTGACTTATTTACACTCCTTCTGCAAAAGAGGGGTCTGTGTCCGCACTTAAGGAAACTAGTCATAGGAGTAAACAGTTATCAAATTGCCAGCAACACTCTTGCAAATGCTCTCAACTTTATATGTGAGTCTCAGAACAGTCATTGTTTTTCTTAAAAGCCCTTAAATTTGGCTGGAATCCATTAATTTTCTAAGAATCTCAGGTTTCTTATAAATAAAATAGTAAACTTCTAGCCACTATGGTCCAGACTACTGCCTGAAAACACAACTTGACTGCACCCTAAAGCTTCCAAAGCCACAGACTACAGAGCAAACAACAGGAAGTGCATATGTATTTATCATTTAATCTCATTATTGTTAAGCCAGTGTAATGACTTTAGGGGGCTTGAATCACAATGTTTGAAGCAAATGGAATATAAATAACAATAATAACATTGAACTATCAAAAGCTGCCTCTTACAATTCAAGGTATTTTTAAACAGGCACCCAGACAATGTTCAGTTATTTTTTTAAATAGAAAATATCTCTTTAAAATATTGTAGACAAGCGAAATGATTGACATCTGCAAAGAAATACTACGGATTACAAGAAAAATATTTATTCTCCTCAGGCTTACTCTTTATTCTAGTAATGTCTTACTTCTCACTGACAATACTATGAAAATTAAACTTATACACATGTTGGGGACTCCTGCATCAGGGCCAAAGTTCTTCAGGTTCAAAAACCCCACACATTCTGGGAAAATGAGGGCAAACCCTGAGTTTCCCGAGCACATAGTTGGCTTATTTTCAGCTTGGGACTTCTTCAGGCACTGAAGACAAAACAGATCTTTAGCTTTCAGGATGGTCACAGAGTTTCCTACAGATGTCAAAGGTGCCGTCTGCCTTATGACAAGCTGGCCTGGATGACTTTTATTTGCACTTACGGAAAGACTGATGAGAGAAGCGTTAATTATGCTAACAGGCATCACACGACATTGCAGTCCTCAAAAGCAGCAAGTTTCGTAGCGCTCCATATGCTGCATGACAAGCCACACAGATATGGCACAGAAAGCACACAAAATGACCAAAGACTCATGTTACTAATGCTCTACAACCTGCAGAATATCATAAACTGGAAAGTAAGGATGATGTTTCATAATGCTTTGCAGATCACTCTATCTCTGTAATTCTAATACCTCAAGACCAGAGTCTGTATGAGTATTTAGAAAAAAAGGTGCAAGTGACCAGAAGTGAAATAAAGATTCAGACTTTGCTCAAACAGTGGCTATAAAGCTTCCAGCCTACTTAGACCCTGCAGACTTTTCCCTCTTTCAGAGAGAGTCAAGCACTAAGAAATGGGGATAGGGAGTTCTGAGGATACAGAAATCCACAGGAATAATCCACAGGAATTTATTTTAATAGCCATTGCTAGATACATACATACTAGAGAAAAAGTACATAATATAATTTACATTATGCTGGGATATTCTAAACTCGGACAACATTTATTTCTTGTAACGAAAAAATCTAATTGAAATGAGATTTGAACATAAAACTTAGCAGAAATGGATCAGCTCCTTTGAACTACACAATGGAAAAATAGTAGACAGTGAGATCATTAGTTAGTACATTGCAATAAGTTGGAAACAGAAGAGATGTCTGGTTCCCTTAAAATTATCGGCAGGTAATTTTTGGTCTGTTTGAAAGTCTTTGCCAAGGCAGCAAGACGACCAGAACTGATAGAAGGAAAAAAATCACTGCTACCTAACTAGCATAACAGCACAGGGACTTCTGAAGCTGTTAATTGACAAAATATCCTGACAACTTCCCACATTTCCCAGGAGCATCAAGTAAGGAAAATGTCTAGACATAGTACCAGTGATACCACAGAAGTCCCAAGAACACAAACATATTTTCTTTTAAACCTCTTCAAATTGATCATTTCTACTGCGTATCAAACAAATGGTTAGATTACTAAGAACACCTATAGGACTGCTCTGGGTCAGACAACCTCAAAAATTCACGAAAGGGCCAGAAGTGAACAACAGAATTCACACTGAGCCCCCTCAGCAACAAAATTAAGCTGAATGTGGGATACTGCTCATCAGTTATTTTGAATTTCTTTCATGCTGGCAAATGAAACTACTGTCTTTAGTACAGGCTCTTTGAATTACTGTCAGCTTGCACACCAAGCACAGGTTTTATATGAACGTTTTTGCATGTACAAACTCACATTTGAATGTGTAGTAATGCAAACATGCACATGTGCAATTGCAGGCAACAACCAGAGATCATTTCAGCCTAAATGTCTGCTTTTGTCCTCAAAATTCAAAAACTTTGGTGTTTCAGAACACCTCTGACAAAGACATTGGCTAAAAAGAATTAGCAAAGTGGATTTAAGATGGCAATTAAATAATTGTACATTACACAAACCAGCTGAGATATGAAAAAGAAAACTACAAATTTAGTACTAATGAAAACATCGTTTCTGCTTTTGAGTACAATTTGCTGATTTCTAAACATTATTTCCTCATTAAAATGAAGAAACAGAGACACTCAGTCACAATAGGTGTTGCTACCATCACATGCTTATACATAGATACTTGGACTATGTATACTAGGACTCCACCTTACCAGTCCTACTGCCCAATGAAGGTAGGGGAGGGAATGGAATGCATCAGCTTTTGTGATCATATGTGCTACTATCCTATGGATCAACCCCATCAGTAAACAGCAGTAGTAGATGATAAAGAAGGCACTTATCAGTCACTTACCATCCTGCTGATAGCATTTTGGGGCATCCCTCCTAACTTCTGTCTTCAAGGTCTGAACTGGAGATTAGTACAAAGGAGGCTGCTTTCTGTGAGCTCTAGACTGGATCTCTGCTTCCAATTGTTTCTGTTCTCCCCTTTTCTACATTTTTTATTTCTTCTATGGGTACAACTGTCTTCGCTTCTCAATGATGTCATCAGTCCTGTCATATATAGGTGTGTTCAGAATTCCACTGCCTCCACTTAACACTTCATAACTCACTCGTGTTCAGTCCCAAAGTATGGTATGTAGTAGCAACACCAGCAACCTTGTCTAGTAACATGTACTTAGGACGACAGCGAGATTCGATTACATCCAAAAAAGGAATGTGCCTAACTACTTGCAGACAGATGTATGGCACAAAGTTCCTATACAGTGATATACTGTACTAAGACCTAAACAAACTCCTGTTTGATCTTCCTGCCGGTCAGGCTGAAAGCAGGTCTCCCTAATTACAACACTGTATCCCTCCTGTGCTGTGGAAAATGGCAGCATTTTAGAAAATAAGGAATAATTAACATGGGAATTTTAACTCCAAAACTATATACTTTTGGTTCCTAGAAACACACTAGGGTACCACCAACTGCCTGGCAGCCAATACTGCTTCAGCAACAAGGTTAAAGCAAGTTGCTGTATCAACACCTTCTTGCACCTTACTTAATCAAATTAAGTTGGTGTTTGAACATAGATTATAAAGGGAATGAAGTAATTTGAAATACTCTATGGATAACCTAGAAATAAGTTAAAAATGAAGCTGCATATTTTCCTACAGATCAACATAGCTAGTTTAGGGTAACACCAGTAGAAGCCCCAACAATGCCAAATTCTTACAAGTTGAGACAAATAAACAAACAAACAAAGGTACCTCCAAGACATGTGGCTGAACAAGGAGTAAACCCAATGTATTCCCAGTCATAAATCACACTGCCATCTTCAGCATGTGAAAAAGCTGGTGGATAGGGGACAGGATCAGTGTCACAGGATGCCTGGTGACAGACTCGTTCTGTTGGTGGCTTCACATCTTCACATTCTTCCTCAGGCAGTTCAACCTCAGTCTGAGTAAATGAGAGAAGAATTCGGCACTTCACCTCTCGCACTTGTATGCCATTGCCACATGTGGCACTGCATGGAGACCAGGGCTCAGGAATAAACCTGCAAAGAATCACAGTAGAAACTTTGTCATTTTATTCCATATAATTGTTTCTGTGTGTGCACAGTTAAAACATAAATGTATGTTTACACACAAAGACAACAATACATAATACTATTTTGTTTCAAACTCCTTCAGTGGGGAAAAAAAAAGGGAGAAACTCCAGGAAGACATATCTATACAATATAAAATAGCTCCCCAGGTATACAGACTTAGGCATATGCCAAAAGCATGCTTGCAGTTTGCTTAAATCTGAGGAAGACCATCACCTTATGCCATACTAATAATCAGCAACCTGAGAGAAGAAAAGCACTTTCCAAACCTAGCTATCTCCAGTGCACACCCCCGCAGGCTGCACTTCAGATTTCATCTTGTAAGAAGCTTCTCATCTTCTATAAAGATATCTAACTGGCTCTGTCTCTAATCCATCATTTTTATTCGAAAGAATTTATGCTCCTGATGAACTATAATAAAATTTTATTTTACAGATCATGGAATTTACTGAATAAGAGGAGGTTTTAGTCTGTGATATGCTCTGATTTTGAGGGTCACATTAATATCTGATAGTAATTTTCAAAATGACCCACTCTAGCCAAGGGGCTGAATTTCATTAACGAAGTCATCCTCTGTGGCTCTGGGGTACAATTTATAAGAAATCAAATACAGAGTATCATAGGGCATTTTTTCAAAAGGTTGACGTTGCTCTTTATTATATGCCCAAATGCAGCTGATGACCAAAACACAAATGGGAGATACAAGAGGATGTATTTGACCAATGCTAAAAACATTTGGAAGGAAAAATCCAACCTAGGATCCAAAGATTTTCTCCTTATCTTTGACTAAGAACTATCTTTCTCTTTACTGCAGGAAAGCTGCCCTTACAAATATAGGAACACTTGTGTAAGACAAAAATCAGAATTTATGCTCTGCACACACAGAAAGAATCAAAAAATGTCAACTCAGTGTGGTTGATTCTGTAGACAGTTTATCATCTTGAGCCAATAACTTCTTGCCAGTATATACAGAGGAAGAATCAAATAGAAGAAAAGAGAACAGATGAGTGGGTAACACACAAGGATACTCTAAGTCCTCAGGGTAGTCACCTAAGCTGTGCCTGGGACATAGCCCAAGACAGACTGTCTCCTCTGGAAAAGACTATTCCCATTTCCAATAAAGGTTACAAGATAACTGGTTATTCTTTAAGGAGCTGTTGATGAAATACTTTTACAAGTCTACTATGAAGATAAAGATGTCAAATCCCATCACTTAAAAGTTTCCTTTCCTGTTCAGAGCCTCAGAATTTTAGAGCTCACTGGTCCATGACAGACCTTAGTAAAGGGTGCAGTATCCCCAGCTCCTCTTGAAACCAAGGAGAACTGTAAGTGCTCATACAAGTCTGTGCAAAAAAATAAGTGTAAGTCCATTTGTAGTTATGTACCTAATTGGAAAAATAAAACTGATGGACATTTATAGTTGAAAAGAGCTGGCTGGTGTTCTGACCACATGTAACAGTTGACAGTCTGAAAGCAAATAACTTTTTTGGTAGAAGCATGACAGCAGCATACCAGAAATTAATGCTAGTTTTGTGTACTGTTAGTTGAGTGCATTAAGACATTCCAAAAATAATGTATGATGCTTTCTTTTGAAATCCTGTATAAACGAAAGGAAATTCTGAACCACAGCAATCCTTTCATTCAGCAACCAATTGATTTATAAAGGAACTCAAAGTTCTAAGCATTTTTTCTATGGCTTATAGCAAGCCTATATTCTAATTGAGGTTTTCCTGTTGAATATTAGTGTCTGGTATTTTTCAGCAAAGTGCAAGATAAAAAAACACCCCCAATATTTTTTATTCTACCTTGGCATTTGCTAAATCAGTCACATGACTATTTGGCTCTTAAAATCCTAAATAATAGAACTTTTCAAAAGATGACCATGTTAAAGTCACACTTCAAGTATCTTCAACGGAAGCCAATGGAGATTGCTAACACACATTTAAAGCAAGGAGCTGAGCAAGGAAGTGACTGGACTGTGAGAGAGCTCCAGAGCAGAGCATTCATCTGACTTTTGAGATCAGGCAGAAGACTTTTTTTATTTTTAATATATACACAACCAAAACCTGTGGCAGATCACTAAAGCAAACTCCATCAGCCTCAGAAGTGATGTATTTTTTAGTCAGTGGCATTCACAGCACACACATGGTAATGCTTTGGACACAATAAAAGCAAATTCACTTTGCCTTTGATGGGCATATACTCAGAGTGTGCTCATGCCTTGCAGCTTATCAGGAACATATAATGGAACGATAGGATGGTGGTAATGGAAAAGTTTTCTGAGTTCTGTAACTGAGTTTGTAGATGAGACTCCTTTTCTGATAAATAAAAGGAAAAGAATGGAAAAATGCAAATCTAAGCAGGCACAACTTTTCAATCAGCATTTTTGTACAGTCATTCTTCCCAGTGCAACATAAAAATTAAATGCTAAACTCATCTGCACAGGTATCAGTGATGTACACACTACAGAAGTGTTGTAGAATATGTCCCTGCTGCAGCGTTATCAGTCTTACGCTAATGGAAATGTGCATTCACCTGGCACACTCTGAAAAAGCCAGTGTAAGGTGACCTGGAAAATGAAGCAGTGGCCTAAACTATTGATGATAAAACTGGGACAGAGCAGCCCAACCCAACCAAATCAAATCTGAACTGAAAACGTAACTCGGTGCAGCCTTCGGTATCTTTCTAAAGACTTTCTTAATTTTTTGTTATTATTGTTGTTTTCCTCATGCCTGCAGCTCTTGCTTCCAGTTAAGACAGGAAATGCCTAAATCCTGGAAAAAAAAAATGATAAAAAATGCCACTCTTGTGATATTTCTAGTCCAACCCTACTGTGCCAAGGGACCTGGATAAGAGTTTGCAGCAGCATCTAAAATGCTGGCTGCTTACCGAGGCAGAACTTCCATGGTGCAGGCACCCTACCCCTCCCTGAAGCACCACCCTTGCCCCCAGTAAGCAGAGTTGCACTGCCAGGTTCTATCAGCCTAGACTGTAACGTGCTGGATGAAATCATCAGTCCATTGTCAGAGAGGAACCAGTGAAAAATGTGTAACTCCCTATCACCAAAGGCACAATGGGGACATTTACGTGAAAATGACTCAAACACAGTGATCAGGAGCCTTTAGAAGAGACACCTCATTTCACATGCAGTGAATGCAACTCCACAAACCTAGTGATTATCTTTTAGCTCAGGTTGCTGGAAAAAAATATACCAGCTTTTGAAAGCATTTTAGTTTTGCCCTAAGCCGTGACAGGGTAAGGCAGTTGAAGTGTCTATTTCCTTAACTTACAATTAATAAAAAGGATGCAAAAACCTTGCTGGAGCTTCTCTGCGAATCCCACTGTAACTAAGAAGGCTCGAGGGAAGAACATTTAAAATAATGATTGGTATCAACTGTCATCACATTCCACAACTGCAAACTAAAAAGGTCAGACCTACATTTTTCTTGGCCTCACTTTAAGGGCAGTCATTTTTTATTTTGCTGCTAATAAAAAAGAGAAGCTTTTGAATGTTCCCCCTCTCTGTAAATTCAGGACACCAGCCGTGGTAGACCACAGCAGCAGAAGTATTTATCTTCCACAAGCTACTTTTGGCATATCCATCACTTGTGGGTTCTAAAACACAGCTGCATTTATTCTCTTATTCATTATCAACTAAAATATCACACAAAAACACAGAAAGACAGTTGTAAGAAAAGGATGGACTAGAAGTTGAGACTTCATATTGTGGTTTAAGTTTGGATGACAAGAGAATAACTAAAATTAAAAGCGATGACATTTTACCAAGGAAATCATAAGCCCCCCGCGAGGCAGAGGTGGGCCATGAGTTATCACTGCGCCTTGTGTAAATTACAGAAAACAAAATTAAACCGTTTCAAACCAGAGGGAAATCTTGTTATAATTTACTCTGGCAGAAGTTACAACCTATTGTTACAGTTTCTTTTTAAATCCTAAACCCTGACCCAAAAATCTTACTCCAGCTGGAAAAGACTACAGCAGTTAGGGCACGAGATTCAAAGCATCTATTGAGAAACTGCTCAGGTTCCAAACTGTTGTCTACATGACCGACAGGCAATGTGCAAAAGGAATGCAGTCAAGGATCAGTTATTTCTCATTTCTTCTTACCTGACAGCTTCCTTAGAAGAATAAAGAGCATGTGGCAGCACAAGACAGGTAAAAAGAAACTAATGGGGAACCTGGCTGCAGCACTAGAGCTGTCTCCCAGGAGAGCCTAGAGTACCCAGACTAGGAAACCACAGCACCTCAGCAACACCTCAGTAAAGAGAAGGATTGTAGAGGAGAGTCATCAGCCACAAGTGGTTGGAGAAACCTGAAGATGCCTCTGGAAGTTGTGAAGGAAAGAGTCTTAGGACAGATGAGGATTGTGAATGAAAGATGAAGAAAATCTAGGTCTCCAGAGTACGTGAAGAAGAAAAAGACCCAAGAAAGTGCAAAACTGCACAGCTGTGACAGGACATGCACTGAGCACTCGAACACATGGCTGCATTCACACAGTGAGGCTGCAGTGGAATACATCGGTCATGTCTAGGAAGGCATGAATAACCGTTTTCTTTGCGAGGACAAGGTACAAGGGAACCCATTACACAGTTTCCGGCTCAACTCTATTATATTCTAAATATACTGTGAGCTAGCATGCTGTGTCCCTGCCAGTCCTCCCTGCTTGTTCTGTCAGACTGCTGCTGAAGGATCTTAAAAATCTCAAGACTACATTAGCTTATGGTTGCCATAGCATGATATTGAAATGACAGAGGTCATTTTCTTTATAGCTTGATGCTGAATCCTCTTTAGCATGGACTCATATACCTTCATTCTGATATGCTGAATTCAACAGGCACATTTGATTGCATCACCCCCTTCGACTATCACGCTATTTTTATACCTTTGCTACTACCCTGCTTGAATTCAGGGCCACCAATTTGGAGAGTGAAATAACCACTCACAGTAGGTTGACACTTGACTTGCGAGGCTAGAGCAGTGAAAAGTTTAAAGCACAGTCACCATAACAAACACCTGTTTGGCAAGAGGTTTCTTCTGTGAGTCAGTGCAGGTGTAAAGATTTTATTACTCATGATCACACCTGTTCGTGCAAGTGTGCCAAAAATCAGGAATAGCTAGACAGAGGAAGAAAAATAAGAAGTTTTCAGGCACGCTCCACTCTCAGACCAATAATAAATCTGAAGCAACTTCAGTAAGCTCATCTAAATGGTTTTAAACTAACATTACTGCAAATGAGTGCAGAATTTGGCAAAGCACAACAAGATATTGCTCAAAATCTCCCATGAAAGCCTTATAGAAAGTTACTACTTTCTAGAAAGTTATATGCTATATATCGGATTTATTAGATACATATATCCATGAAGCATACACAGGGGATATAAGCAATTGTGTGGATGCCCTAACATACAAGGGACAGGAACAAGTGCAGGTGGATTTAAATTATGCTTTCATCCTCAGGACTTAAATATTGTGAGGCTTACCCCCATCAGCTTTTAAGGGAACTCACAAAATCCAGATGTTATTTCACACATGCGTGTGAAGTATCACAATTTACCCCCACAGATTCAGCTAAGTTCAGAGATCAGCAGGTTTTTCTCACTTTCTTTATGCATTGGGCTCACCCCCCAGGGAAATGCTGGCAACCCTACAAAGTACCTCTTAGTTTTTAATACAGCCACTACATCCTTGAGGTAACAGCAAAGGCTGGGACAGAACTGAATTTACTTAATTTACATCTGCTGAAATGCTTCCACATGCATTAATTAGGCTAAATTAAGATCCCTTTGCATTGCTTGAATGGTACAGGGACACTACAATAGACCAGCTCTGCATCATCCAGAACAGGAGCTCCAGTAGCAAAGCTACTAAGATGTAAAATTAGCAACAGCTCACAACGCAGCTCATGTCCCAAGGACGGCCAACTGTCAAAGCGAACTGCATAGCAACAGTCATTCCAGATGATCTGCAAAATGTGCCGGAAATGTTTCTTTACTGTAAAAGACAATGTACTTACGTTGGCTCTTCTGAGACTTTTATGGTCTCTTCCATTTCATGTGCCTGTTTAAACCACGGCAATTTTGCTTCCACAGGAGGTTTTTCTGGTAAAGAATAAAAAATCAACACAACAAAAACATTCAGAAATTCCTCCAAAAATCAAAACAATATGTAAAAGTTAGTATTATTCATCTTAGCACTTCACACTTTACATTGCCTACTGATCTAATGCTTTTGAATATACACTGGACAATAAAACATAATATACAAGAAAATCTCCTCATGATGTTTGAGCTCCATTCTGACACACTTCTTTACTGAAAGGGTACCAGTAATACAATTTTCATTCCCGTTTAATCTTTCACTTCCTTCCCCCATCTTCCCCAAAAGCAGTTTCTAGTAGATTGTAGCTTATATCTCAGTGTAATGGGTCATTGTCATAATTTAAGTTTATAGCCAAAAAGAAGCCAGAGCATAGTAAACACACATTGCTTCCCAGCTAGATTGGCTTCATTAGAAAATATGCACAGAATTATTCTTTTTCCTGAGTTAGCCAGCTATCCCAAACCAGGAAATTAATTTAAAAACCAACACTGGCTTCTTTTATCTGTCTATACATCCTATACTTCTGTAGTGCTTTTTCTAGGAATACTGTAAGCCAACTGAGGATCTGTTCCTCCTAATTTCAGATAAACCCCAGAAGAAGGTTCTTAAATATTCAGAGCTAGTTTCTACTTCATGGCATAACCCTGAATAGTTTTCTCCTTGAAGAATTCTCTAAAGTTTAAAACCAGTCTGAAATAGGATTGTCTACAGATTTCGCTTTCTCTGTGCAAACCTCTATGGTGAGTTGTGAAGGTCTGAAGTACAGCCTTTCAAATAGAAACTGTAAGAATAGGAGTAGCACACACTAAAATGGTCGAGAGGGACAGAAATGAGCAAGTGACAAGATACACTGGTTTTCCCACCCCCCCATCTGTGTTTTTTCTTTTCACCTTCCCACCTACTGTTGTATGCCTTACCAACTCTTTCAGAGAATATCTGTCAATTTACATCATTGTTACAGCCCTCTTAAATATGCAGATATGGAGAAGAGAGAAGGCAACCAGTTTGAATGTAACTTAATGAAGTGATGAGTCCCGCTGAGAATGTGGACACACTTAATGAGATGCAAATGAGCAAGATCCGAGGAGATACGTATGGAGTATCATTCCCATTTCAAGTGTTAGTGAACAACTCCCCCTCCCCATGTTGAACTCATTACTTCTAGTTTTCCCAGTCTGACTAGGCTGTATAGATTCAGTTAGCATGTTCACCTCGTGACAGTCTGGCCACATCATCAGCAAAAAATATTAGCAAGGCACTTTTCCTAGCACCAATAATTAAAATGCTTGTTTCTGCCAAGACTGAAATAAGTCCTAGTAAATTCTAGATACTTCTTCTGGCATTTCTGAAAAAGGTTACCAGGGGCTTTTAATTCTCCTAACAAAAATGTAAAACAATAACAGACCCAGACAAAATTCCAGTTACCTTTTGGCTTGTAACATGGTATTGGCACGATGCACTCTTCTTTTATGTGAAGTTTAAGTTGTGGATTACAGCCACCGACGTGCTGCCCGCGGTGGTCAATGCACAGCACTACTCGGTAACGCAGGCCTCGGCCACAGGTCACTGTGCACTGCAGGAGACAATGCAACCACCTCATACTGTTTCTTTTTTATTATGTTTACTAATACTGTTAAAAAGCAAGTTAGAAGTACTGATGATGTGTTCGCCAAAGTTTTTCCACAATCAGTGAGGTATCAGCCGTATGAATTTGCCCCTGCATTGCCAGGTGAATAAAGAAAAGGTTGACACTGGAAAAAATGTCTTAAGTTTTGGGAATGCAAGTGATTTCTCAGGGTTCTGTAAAGCTTATCTGATTGGCAACAGTCTGAAACAGAGGTGGCTATGTACTGAGAATATACTCTCTCACAGTGGTCATTTTCAGTTAAAGCTGGGTCAGACGTGCTGCAAGAACAGTTTCCTCACTACATGTTAGTGATGTCATTTGGATGAACTAAGGAACTACAGAAGTGTTGAGCTATCTGACTGTATCAGACAACTACAGCCAAGATAAGTTGGCTTTATATTCTTGTTACTATAATGAAAGGTAAGAATGCTGGAAAATCACCCTCGCAGACTTGTCAGCCCCTAGACAGACATGCCTTTAGCTATTATATGCAGTGAAATATTACATTTATCGAGAACTGAGAGACAAATGACCTGATTGCAAAGGGGTCTGACCTCTGGCTCTCATTTCTCCTCCGTGTAAAGCAGGAATTCAACAGGCATAAATAATCCTATATGGATTTTTCTCCACACGGACATGTTAACATTTTGATTATCTGGCCAAATTACTTAGCACAAACTTCTCCTAATCAGTACTATGAATTATGCTTGCAGGGCTATCTTTTTCTAATAGCCCTGTGCTCACAAATACATGGTAAAACAAGACTAGAGGCTTTCTTTAGAAAACAAAAATAAAGGTCCAAATTACTTTTCAACTTACTTGAGACCATTCCATTGCAACCCATTTAGGGCAGTCAAATAAATTGCAGGTTTGAATTACTTTGGGCTTAGGGGCATACATGCACTTCCATTCTTCCACTTGCAGTATCTCTCCGTGAATGGTCTCCTCTACACACACAAAACTTCTTCTCTGAATACCACCTCCACAGGAAACTGAACAGGCAGTCCAAGGGTTATGTTCCCACCTGGAAAAAGAACTCGCATATATTAAAAATAAGGCCATTTTTTATTCCACTAACCTCTATTAAAAGTGCAAAATACTGAATTCAACCTTAGCGTCATTAAAACCCAGTGACAGTTTGGTTGCTGGATTCTTAGCACACGCTGAATAAAAATACATTGAATTACAGAACTACCTTGCATTATTCCAGACTTAAATTTATGTGCAAAATGAGAGAAAAACAGAACTACAGATTTCACAAAATAACTACAAGTCTTATTCTCATACATGAGTTAAAGACATTAAATACACTGAGTTTGATTACTGGAATGATTTTAGTTGCAAATAGTCTAAATCCTCTAAACAGAATATTTTTCAGTTAATTCACATAGTCACATACTCCTATTACTATTGTCAGAGACTGAGAATCATATGTGCTTGAGACTGTATGAAGTCCACAGACAAAGACAGATGTGGCTGTGCTGACTGAGGGTGTTATTGCCCAGTTGCTCATCACTGCCCACATCATGCAGGCTACCTCAAAAAAGTCTCTTCATGCAAGAGCTTTACTGGGCACTCTGATACTTGCTTTGGGTAAACCCAGCCATTTCATTTCAAACTGTCTTCATCCCTAAGGACTGTGAGCAAATTAAATTGTGACAGCTACCATTTGGCTGGTCATCACTGAAGTTCTGCAAGAGTTCTCCACCCTCATTAAAATGCTGTTGAATGACTGTATTCACACTTTCCAGCTTGCTTCCAGCAAAAGGCAGCTGCTCATCCATGTCAGCTGCTTCGGCTAACCTCACTGATTGCTCCCAAAGCAGGGCTATGAACAGATTAAGGAAAGTCCACACAGCCCTGTCAACCAGAAGAGCTGTGGGGTAATAGCCTCCAACAGAGGGATGATAAACAACCTGCTGGGAGGGAATGCCTTCAGAATGGACATCTATCCACAATTTTAGACCTAACCACAATAAAGATGGAAATTGCTACACCACCTGAAGCAAGAATTACATGGCGGTTTTTAGGTTACAAACTTTGTTCCATTTATCTCTTGGTCTTAGTATGAATGTACATTTAAGCAACCATTTACCAACAAAAACTTCAATAATGTCCTGCTTTTGTCATGTTTAGAGATAACAAGCTCCTATCATAGCATTTGTCTATAGGTTCCACTGACCCACACACAATTTTTCCTCACTCTTCACCTATTATCTCTTGCTTCTTTCCCACCACCCACCCAAATCAAAGCAAAGCCCTGTGAAATGACTGAGTCTAGCAGCACATCCTATGGTTCATCAATGTCTTAGTTTAAAACTTATTCCTGTTACAAATGCAGGGGCTCAGAAAGGATCATGAAAAAAATTACAGGCACTATGAACAATGGACTTGTCAAGTACTTCAGTATCCCACCAAAATCAATTCATCAAGAGTAACTTAGCTATCATAAAGGAAGTCATAATCTCAGAGTAGATGAAGCAAAGGCCTATGAATCAAAGATAAGTTTAAGTGACTACTACTCACTTTCTATGATCCCGCAGGTAAATCAAGGACACTTCCTATTTTAAGCAATTCATTAAACTGCCTACAAAAACATATTAATCATGCTTAAGCTCAACAAAAGAATGAGACTACAAGATAGAGCAAGCCATGAAACATTAGCCATAGAGCATATACTTGAAAACATGCAGAATAAAGCTGTATGTCCCAATAAGATACCATATGACAAGTACAAAACACATTTGAAGAGTAACAGTTACACTTCTCTGCCTTAAATGAATGACCAGTGTTAACTCATTTCCCTTAGAAAAAGTTAGAAACTGCAGAGCAATTAACTGTACAATGAATTAGCAGCTTATGGATTTATATATATATGGCTCACAGTGCTATATATAATGCTAGCCTTGCGAGTGTTTATAGCATGAAGTTTTATAGTTGTTTTTCTTTATCTCATCAGTTTCGAACACACTCCAGATCCCATACTCCCATAAGCATTTTCAAGATGGAGTGAGGTCCATGGCTACTGGGGAAAGGGGGGTTCTTGGGCAAGCAGTCAAGGAGATACTTTCCAGAACCCACAGCTGTCAAGGGATCCTCAACAGTCCAACAAGTCTGAAATAAATGGAGGCATTCCAAAAGCTTTAAAAGAAAATTTTCATCCTGGGAAATTTTCCTATTTATTTCAAAAGAATTCTCCATCTGTAAAAATATTTCAGTGGGGCATTTACAACTCTAGCCACAGGAGAACTCTTTCAAGATCTTGTGGTGTGCACCATGACTTTCCCACAACTTCCTCGTGTGAATGGGAAAGTAGTGGTAAATGCCACAGGACTGCAAAGCAGCCCTCCACATGGCCCTCGTGTTATGTAGGAGGTGTGATGTATGACTGCTGGTCAAGGTGAAGGAGCCCGTACAGTTTTGCTCAAGCATAGCTACAGTACTTCGGTTTTCTGCCTGCTTTGCAAGAACACTCATGGATTAGCATGTAAGAAACAGGTAAGAAAAGGCAAAAAGAAAACGTGGAAAAAGCTCCAGCAGAACTGGCAGAGACTAATGCATTGCAGTTACTTGACAGGCAACAGCACAGAGAAAATACATCCTGCTACACTGAAGCGAGACCTGTACCTGTGCTGGACCAGATTCACCTCATGATGCATGGATGCAAAGTGGCTGTTTCAGCTGTCCTTTTCTTTCAGAAATTCCAGCAAGAAAGGGTGCTTTTTTATCTTATGATTCTTTATGTGCCCTCCCAGTGTAACACAGCCTGTTTCCTCTCTCTCCTTCCTCCTGACACCAACTCTGTGCCCTACTTGGCAACCTGCTATCTTACAGTTCTTACTCCTGAGCATCACCCAGGAAGACCATGATACCTTCTGACAGGCCACACTGAGGTGTCGAAATGAGGTGAGCCTTTGTCTGTAGTTCTCAGTGTTTGAAATAAGAGAACCTGCCCACAGTTTTACTGCAGACAATCTATCTCACCACAGTGTCATGCAAACGTGCTGAGCACGGTAAAGCACAGAAAGGGGGATTAAATTTCTCTTCCAACTGGCCTCCAAGCCTTGAGCAGTTCAGAAGATGAAATACTCATGTAAATAAATTGTGCTGAGTTCCAGAGGAGACCTTAAGTACAAAGGAATTGGCAGAAAAAATGGAAGGGGAGACACGCAGAATGTAATTATCGAACTTTGCAGGATCCACAACAAGCATAAATTGTTACAGAAATAAACTATGACATTTATATCAGCTGCAATCAGTAGCTCCACTGAGCCGTGCAAGTCTATGATTTCATTCGTATTACTTCATATCTTTGCTTCTTTAGAAAAATACACATTATTCATTTCATGACATAATAAAGCAGAGGATCAACTTAGATAAATATGCATCTAACTCCATCAACTATAATTCTTCACATTAACAGTAAATCCAGCTCAATGCTTTTTAGTCCCAACATTCTTCACAGTACATGTAAGCCTTCCAGAGATTTACATTCTTGTCATTGATTCAGGTAAATAAATAAATGACAACAAACTCTGCTCTGACAACTTAATTTTAGGTAATAGATATTAAGACAACTCAGTATCTTTAAAGGGACACGTCAGCCTTGATGTCAATAGAGTGAGTGTAGGTCTAATGAATGGCAGAAAAATGAGACCTCTCAATGAAGAAAGAATTTCTAGTCCTATAATAGAGATAGACCTGTTCTATGAAAGAATGTATTCATTTCATACATCTTCAAAACAAAACCCTTTCATTTCATTCATCATTAAGACAAGAATTTATACATGCATTTTAAAGGAGATGCTCTTCCCAAAACTACAGCAGAAGAGAGCTTAGGGGAGACAATTCTTTATTCTAAAGTCTTCCACACTGATATTTTCAAGAAAAGCATATTAATCTTAGTGTTAATCTAATCATTCAGAGCACACTGAAATAAATCACAAATTTAAAAACATGTACAAGATTGTTATAAACTTGCTCTCCTGTACAGCAAAAAAAATCTGATGTTCCATGATTTTAATAATCAAATACTATGTTTAAAGTGAAAATTGTGCTAATGCTGACACATATGCTACCCTGAATATACATACCGAGGAAGTGGCTGGAAGTGATCATAGGGCATGATTTCTTTAAATCCATCACTGTCAAAAGAAATAAATATTGCATCATTATTTCTCATACCCGAGACTGTACACCAAGTATCTATTTTTACATGATCATGCTTAAAGTAAGCAATTCCCAATGCGAAATGAGGGAATCTTACATCCACTACACATCACCCCTGTGGCAAACAATAACTTGAATAACCTTACCTTTCCTGCACAGAAAGGGATTTATTCCCCATAGAGTTCCTCCATTTTGTACCATCCAAAAAATAAAATTAAATGAACAAGCCTTTAGCAGAGACATTAATTATCAGCAATTTTTTAGGACTGTGCTACTTTATTCTCAAGAAAAGTTGTCTACTTACACCTGTAAAAGACCACTGAGGACCTCAAGTGCCAGTGACATAAATGCATCACAAGATTAATCCTAGATAGGTCTTCAATGGTGCTTAGGACCTTTCTAGAACTGCATAGCATAGAGCATGCATATATATATATATATATA